AAAAAAAAAAAAAAAAAGGGCTTGAGGGAGCCCTTCTGTCCCTCTGCCACGTGAGGACACAGACGGGCACCGCCTTCAAGGAACAGGCTTTCATAGGACGTCAAGGCTGCTGGCACCTTGACTATGGACTTCCCGGCCTCCAGAACTGGGAGGAATGAATTTCTGTGGTTTGCGAAGACCCAGTCATGGGTGTTTTCCTGCAGCAGCGGGAATGGGTGACGACCACGTCTGAGACAACGTCTTGCCTCTTACCTAAGAGACCCCGCAAGCTGTTAGCTCACGTGGCCGCTGGAGCACTGATCACCGGGCAGGGGACGCGACATCCAGCAGAACATCATTTCCAGAGCTGGTGGGAGCATGAATCCTCAGAGTAAAGAATTTCATGAGTCATGCGAGGGAGGAATAGAAATAACCCCACACGTGGAAGCTCCACAGAGTCCCCCTGAGTCGGGAAGCGACGAACGCACCGCGTGGCAGGACGCCAGCCGGAGATCCGGTGACCCATGATCCCTGGAAAGGAGCCAAATGTTTAAAATTACCCCAACAGATAACATGGTATGCCCAGTTCCTAAAATGCAGTGACACAACCGCGATGTTGACACCAAGAGGGCATACGAGAGAGGGAAAGTAGAACCCAATCTCAGGAGGTAAATCAGAAAACCCTAAATAAAACATTAAACATTGAAATCCAGCCATGTGTGAGACACGCACACACACCTCCCTTGCCAAGTTGGAGTTTAGATCCTAGGAGCCCCAAAAAAGGTTCAACATTAGAAATTCTTGACATTAACACGTTAAAAGAGAAAACCATTGAGTATCTCAATTCAACATATATTCATGATTTTTTTCAAAAAGATGTAAAGCAGACTTTATTCACAGAGGGCCACGGCGGTGGAACCCCTGCCCTGGGCGTTGCAGTGGGGAGAGAGACTGGACTCCGCCCCACAGGAAAAGCTTTTAATGAAAGAGGAAGTGGAAATTAGCATGATCAAGGGTGTCTAGGAAAGAACTGCCGCACACGTCGCGTGGAATATCAGAAATGCAGGGAGGATGCCGGCTAAACTCCTGTGTCTGACGTTGTCCAGGGTTCCGATCCTCGCGTGGCCGGCCCCAGCCTGAGCCGCATCTCCGGGTGGCACCGTTCGCACGTGTCCAGGAGCGGCTCCTTGCATCCCTCCACCAGGCGTCTCTGGCCAGGCCGCCTCCCCAGCGGCTGCATGCTCTCACCTGGCCGCTGTTAGAAGGACACTGTCCACATCCTCAGAAGGAACTTTCCCGGCCTGAGCCCCCACGGCACACACACTCCTCCAACTGAAGATTCACCGGAAATTTCCCTGAGTTGTGCCAAGAACCAAGGGGCACCGTGTCATCTGGGGCCACCATAGATGCCGTATCACTCACAGTCGAGGACAAATTCGCCCAAGACCAGGGGACAGCAGGTCCCTGTCATCCAGGACATGTGGACCCAGCAGGGCTGGCTGAGCCTGCTCCACAGCCCCGCCCCAGGCACATTTGAAGACTGAGGGGTGGTCTTGGGTGCTGGTCAGTTCACACCAGGGATCCGCCAGCCCAGCCAAAGAGTCACAGCTGTCCCTTCCCAAAGGCCTCCCTCAGGCTGGGCAGGGCCCGCCCCAGGCCCACCGCAGCCAACGGACATGGCCTCAGGCCGGCGGGTGGCACGCGGGAGTGCAGGCCAGGCTCTAGCTGGGTTGGATTGAACCCCTAGTGATTTTCCTCAGGTTGGAGGCAGGCAGGGCGGGCCTCAGTGTCTGGGCAACTCAGAGCGGAGATGGCCCCTAGAGAAGGGAGTGTTCGACGTCCGCCTGGAGGATTTGTCAGGAAACCCCCCCCAGGATGCCGGGAAACCCCCCTCAGGATGCCGGGAAACCCCCCCCCCAGGATGACCGTGGGGCCCGTCTCCAGCTGCTTTGCCTCCTGTTTGAAGGAACGCCATGTGGCACATTGAGATCCAGGAGGGGCGACTCGAGGCCTTCCGGACAGCTGACCGTGAGGAGGCAGAGGCTGCGGGGCGGCGGCTCCAGGTGCGAGCAGCCCGGCAGCTATGCAGGGAGCAGGAGGCCCTGGGGAAGATGGAACGGAACCGACTGCTGAGAATCCGGTAAGCGGCACCCAGGCCCACCCGTGCCCGTCCCAGCAGCTCCTGTCAGTCCGTCCGTCCTCTCCCCAGGGATCTCCTCACCCTCCGCATCTGTCCAGCTCCACCTCCACCCTCCCTGCCTCCTCCCAGCTTGCTCCTCTGCTGGACCTTTGAGTCCTTCCCAAGTGTCAGGCGCCCCCCTGCACCTGCCCAGAGCCCCAGCTCTCCCGAGATGCCACAGCCACGATACCGCCACTAAAGCCGGCTACTAAAGCCGCACTCCAGCGAGACTGCCCCTCCCCTTTCCCTCCGGCAGCCCCATCCTCTTCCCAGCCAGGCCATTCTCTGGGCTCCGTCCCCGCCTCTGGCTGCTCCTTTGCACCCCTCCCACGGCCCCCACCCCCCGCGGCCATGGAGCACTCAGGCCTGTTCCCCACATGTCCCCTGTCATGAGTCTCCTGCTCAGCCAGGGCCCAGCCACCTCCTAGGCCAGTCCCCAAGTGCTTCACAGGCCATCAGGCCAGCTGTCCCAACCTGCCGTGAGCCTCTCTCCTGGGGACTCCCTTCTGGCCCCCATCCCCTCCCCCATCGTGTTCCCTCCCTTCAGCTGCCCAGGCCACAAACCCCTGTGGAATCCAGGCCCTGGCTACAGACACGAGGTCCCCAGCGCCTGCCTCCTTCCTCCCCACAGCACTGCTGTGCCTGCGCCATCCTCTTCCCAGACCCCTGCCCGGCTGGGATCGAATCTTGCCTTTGGTGGTTCCCTGGCACTGGAGCTGCAGTGGCGTGGAGAGTGTGACATCTGTGTGGCCCACGGCACCAGCTCTCCAGGGACCCTCGCTCCTCCCCAAGGGAGGCTGTGCAGGGCAGAGCTGAGCAAAAGGGCCCACGGTGTCTCTGGGACACGAGCTCCAGCTGTGCAGGGCTTGGGGGCAGGTGGGACGCATGATGCCCTCTGATGGCCCCGCATCCCCACAGGAAGTCCCTGCACACCCAGAAGGAGCTCGGGCTCAGGCACCAGAAGCTGCTGGAGGATGCCCGGAAGAACCACAAGGTCGCCGTGCGGTTCCTGAAGGCCTCCCTGGGAAGGTAGGGCCTCCCTTCGATGTCCTTAGGGAGAAACCCAAGAATACACGTCACTTGCTTTTGCCTTGACATTCCCTGATTTTATTATTTATTTACTTAAGATGGAAGCTTGCTGGAGTGCAGTGGCATGATCTTGGCTCACTGCTCTGCCTCCCAGGTTCAAGTGATTCTCCTGCCTCAGCCTCCTGAGTAGCTGGGACTACAGGCGTGTGCTACCACGCCCGGCTAATTTTTGTATTTTTAGTAGAGACAGGGTTTTACCATGTTGATCAGGCTGGTCTCGAACTCCCGACCTCAGGTGATCTGCCCGCCTCGGCCTCCCAAAGTGCTGGGATTACAGATGTGAGCCACCGCATCCAGCCTCCTGGTTTTATTTTTATTTTTATTTTTTTATTTTTATTTTTTTTGAGACGGAGTCTCGCTCTGCCGCCCGGGCTGGAGTACAGTGGCCGGATCTCAGCTCACTGCAAGCTCCGCCTCCCGGGTTTAGGCCATTCTCCTGCCTCAGCCTCCCGAGTAGCTGGGACTACAGGCGCCCGCCACCTCGCCCGGCTAGTTTTTTGTATTTTTTAGTAGAGACGGGGTTTCACCGTGTCAGCCAGGATGGTCTCGATCTCCTGACCTCGTGATCCACCCATCTCGGCCTCCCAAAGTGCTGGGATTACAGGCGTGAGCCACCGCGCCCAGCCTGGTTTTATTATTGAATCACCACCTATCATCAAAAACCAATAAACATGTATTTTTAGTGTGAGGTGCTGTTTCTTTTCAGAAGAGGCCTGTGAGACACGCTGGGCATGTTCCTACCGTGTCCTCGTGGCCTGGCCCTCCGGGGCGTGTTCCTGCCGTGTCGTCATGGCCTGGCTTCTACGCCAGCACCTTTTGCCCATCCCACCTCTTGTGTTGTCCCCGTTAATCATGTTCCTGGTGGAAATGACAGCACCGAGGCTCCTTTAATTACACCCCACACGGCATCGCTGTGTCACTTCCTCGGTTAAAAGTGTGGCCATTTGTGGTGGCGCACGCCTGTGATTCCAGCACTTTGAGAGGCTGAGGCTGAGGCAGGAGGATCACCTGGGCCTGGGAGCTGTGATCGCACCACTGCACGCCAGCCTGGATGACAGAGCCTCAAAAATGTTTAAATGTCCTTCCTCAGAATCCGAGAGCAAGAGAAGAAGGAGGAGATGAAGTGCCAGGAGCACATGAGGCGACGCATGGACGCGGTGGTGGCACTGAAGGGCAGCATCTCCGTGAACCGGGTAGGCCCCCGCAGCCCCACCCAGCCTCTCCCTCGGCCCCTGCCAGGGTCCATCCCTGGGCCCCTGCTCCTTGGGTGCCAGGCCTGTGTCCTTGGGTGTCCAGGGTTGACCCACACACTTGGTGGCCCCTGGAGGCTTCCCAAGCCTGTGCCACAGATTTGCCCACGGGTTCTATGTGGGTCAGGGCCAGGCACTGGAGTCAGGCAGGAGCAGGCAGCCCAGCCCTGCTCCCATGGGGCCTGGTCTTGTTGGAGGAGACACATGGAGGGCCTGGGTGCCTCGAGGCCATGCCCTGGGCCCAAGGCTGGGGGTTCAGGCTGGGAAAATGGTGGGAAGGGTGGGAACAGAATCTGCAAAGGCTCAGAGGTGAGGGGCAGAGGCGGGCAGGTGACGTGCAGGGACAGCCCCAGCCCCACGCTTGGGTTGTGTGGACAATTTGCCAGCTGTCTCCCGCGGGGTCTGCAGACGTCAATGTTGGTTTAAGGCCCAGTGTGTGAGCATGTGTGTGTGCAGGTTTGCATGTGTGTGTGCACGTGTCTAGGTGTGCATGTGTGAGCATGTGTGCGCATGTGTGTGTAGGTTTGCATGTATGAGCGTATGTGTGTGCACATGTGTGCATGTGTGACCGTGTGTGTGCGTGTGTGAGCATGTGTGCACATGTGTCCAGGTGTGCCTGTGTGAGCACGTGTGTGCAGGTTTGCATGTATGAGCATAGGTGTGTGTGCATGTGTGCAGGTGTGGACGTGTGTGTTCCCGCGTGTGCTGACATTGTCACCTCAGTGCTCTCTATTTCCAAGGACACACTGCGGAAGTTCCAAGCATGGGACCATGCCAAGGCAGAGCTGGCGGAGCAGAGGGTCCAGGCTGAGAAGAAGGCGATTCTGGCCCAGGGCGGGGATGCGTTCAGGCACCTTGTCCACCAGCGCCGGCGCCAGGAGCTGGAGGCCCAGAAGAGGTGAGGGTGGTGGCAGAGGTGCCACTGGGAGGCACCTGCCCAGTCAGTGGGTGCAGGGAAAGCCAAGGGGGCTCAGCTTTACATTAAGCAAAGCTGCTCTCTCTCCCAGGGCCCCCACTCAGGCGGCTGTGGGGCACAGGAACAGGGGCTCCAGGCCACCACCCTTGCCCTGCCTGGGCCTGACTCAGCCTGCCCAGCCCTTCCCCTACTCCAGTCCATGCCCAACCCTCGGCCCCTTGTCCCCTCTGAGACCCTGAAACCCCGGCCCCTCTCGAGAGCCTCCGGCTCCTGTTCTGACTTCTCAGGAAGAGGGACTGGCGGGCTCTTTCCTGGCCCACCCAGAAGTCTCCAGGGAGCCTGTCCTGGGTTTTGCCCGAAGCTGCCTCATCCCGGGAGCCTGGCCCTTTCTCCCCATCCCAGTCCCCCTGTCCACGGCCCTGGCCAATCACTGCTGAGGATGTGCCTGGGCGGGGGCTCCTGGCCCTCTCGCTGGACAAGGCATCCTCCTCTGGGTGCCACAGAGCCCTGAGTGCGTCCTCCCCACCCCCCTGAGTCACGATCAGAGTTCTCCACCACCCATCAGCCTGCCCACCTTGTGGGGGGGTCCTGGCAGCGATGCCTACACATCCCTTAGCCTGGCGCAGGCCTGGCATGTAGGAGGCACCGGGGAGGTGCAGCTGCAGTGAGTGGATGAATGTCTTCAGCCCTGGGGCTACCCTCAGTGGCAGCCCCACGCCAGCCTAGAAACAAGGGCTGGGAAGAAGCCTTGGGGCGGCCAAGGCTGCTGGGGGACTGGGCTGCTAAGTGGGCAGGGCCAGGCTGGGCAGGGCTGGGCAGGGCCGGGCTGGGCAGGGCTAGGCAGGGCTGGGCTTGGCAGGGCTGGGCTTGGCAGGGCTGGACAGGACTGGGCTTGGAAGGGATGGGCTGGGCTGGGCAGGGCAGGGCTAAGCTGGGCAAGGCTGGGCTGGGCAGGGCTGGGCA